TTATATGCATAACTGGTATAAATAATGTGTCTATTTAATTACATAAATGGTCCAATGCAAGAGCTTTACCAATCTGCCTTGGTGGGTTTCATGCATGGTGTACTGTAGAGAGATTAACTGAAGTTTGACTCAACCAAACCTAGACAAATGAATCTCAGACCCCATTCCCAAAGATTTTAAATCGATCTATCCCTGTGGGGAGTCTCACTAGATTACTGTCAGCTTAGCCGGCTTAAGCGTCTGTCCCGCCTACTAAAAGCTGTAAAGGGGTAATTAACTGTCGTGCGCGCTCCGCTGACTGCAATTTAGCATGAACCCCCAGGGAGTTAGGTCAATCCGGGTGGATCGATCTAAATCTCTGGGAATGCACTCTCAGAGTGCATGGTGGTGCATGCAAGTGGACACTTAGAAAGTATGTATGGATGCAGGTGTATTTGTGCACGTGTGAACGAGCATGTGCCTTACAGGAGTGGGGCAGGAAGCAATGAGACTGCACTCACTAGAGGACAGACACGGACTCAGAAAAGGCTAAAATACCAAATTGTGTTATATTTTGAACCAACCACTTCTCCCAGTAAATCACAACAAACTTAACCAGAAAATGTGTTTTTCAAATCAACATCATCTCTCATACTATATTGGTAAATTCAAACCAGTTCATTCAATAGCAAACCATACGAATTGTTTGGTTGTTACCAAAAGAGAAAGGTCCATAACAATAGGATATCAAGTCAACCAGCCATGCATGCTGGCGTGCGTGCCTGCGTGCCTGCCTGAGTGGGAGTCAATCCTATAAGCAATGCTACTCTTAGCCGCCCCTCCCCCAAGTAAAGTTTTAATAAAAATATTAAGGAAACTTCTGAAGAAAATGTTAAGGTCACTAAATATTTTGCTCATTTTTCAAATTTTTTTTAAAGGTTAGGCTTTAAGAAGAAGATATTGTATCTTATTGCACAATGTAATATCTTTGATTCTCTCATAAAGGAAGCTTAGGAACTGCAATCTTATCCTTTGAAACTTGGTCTCCAACTTCCCATCATATCGCAAACAAACAGGCACAAATATGGCGTGTCTCAAATGACATCCACGCAATAAGTTCTTGCCTCTTGCACATGCCATAGAGTGCAGCACTATAACTTCACCATCACACCTTTCTTCTTGTCGGCTCAGCTTTATGAAAACCCCATCAAGAAATAAAACCCCAGTCACTCAACCAGTAGCTGTAAAATGGATCAGTGGCACCGATCCAGATGTCACAAGCTGGGCAATGCATTAGAAAGCGAAAAAAAGAAATCGTGTGTTATTTATGTACACATGGCTAGGTCTATGACCTCTATCCTTTCCCTTACATCATTATGAAGGAGAATTACTGTACGGCTAGACATTACAAGCCAAACGAACAAAAAAAAAAAAAAAAACGCATTACTAATGCATACATGACAAAATGCACAGCCTCTATCCTGTCAGTAAGAAGGACAGACAATTACTGGAGGATTAGACATAATAAGCAAAGAAAAAAAAAGTATTTTTAATGGCTGTATGCAAGGTTTATGATAAATAGCCTTCCCTCCTTCCCTTATGTCATCATAAAGAAGTAGACATTTTGACAGGATTAATGATCATAAATGCTTGAATACTGAACCAGTGGAAACATCTTTTCTGGGGTCTCAATCTACTAAAATCCAAATTCTAGTTAAATTTTATTTCTTTTTATTTATAAAATGCTAATGTTTCTTTTCTAAAAATCACAAAAACACACACACACACACACACACACACACACACACACACACACACACACACACACACACACACACACACACACACACACACATTGCATTTTATTCATGAGGTAACAACTATTCATGACTGCATTTCAACCAGTGGGAGGAAAAGCATAGAGCCAATTCCAAGAACTATATAATCATTAACAATTCAGAATCTTTGCAATCATAATAGAAACGGATCTTATGATACATTCACATATAGAATATCAATCTGGAATTCTTAATCCCCTTCTCAGTCTTCAACTGTGCATGCCCACTGCATTTTTCTGTTCTTGTAATGGTCCTGACAACTCTTGCCAAGATAAAGAAATCATTCCCACTAATTTTCATAAAAAGCATGGACCCCAGTAAACAGGACTATTACTTTTTCAGGCCTAACCCACTTAGATCTTTATTTATTTATTTCCCAGTGAAATAAAACAGCACATGAGGCAAAGTCTGCAGGCCACCAAGTCCATTACCAAAAAATCTCCATTCGGAAGCCTCTCTTTGAAAGCCATACCAAATTCGTGGGAAAAAGACCAAAATGAGAATCAATCAAAAGGAAATGACATGAACAGATTTGTGAGAGAAAAAAAATGTCTAAAAAGCTTGCATATCTGACTGTATTAAACTAGTCTTCTTTATCTAGATCTCTTCCTTGGACTTTAAATAGCATTTCATGACTGAACCCATAAAATAAGCAAGGTTATTGACCTGCACAATCCATATCTTTCCACAAAATGTTCTCGATATAAGTTCCTGCTTGCTGAAAGGTCAATGTCCTGTTTCTTATGGGCCTTACTGTTTTTTGATCTGCATTTCTGTGCTATCCAAACCAAGTCTTGTACTACTACCACTGCTACTAAAAAAAAAAAAAAAAAAAAAAATGGCCTACATTCCACGACTTTTCCAGTCACAACATAAAAGACAGCATCTTTGATCTTTCTCTTATCTGTCTTTTGACTGCAGTGAACTTAGGTCTTATCCTACAGCTACTAACAAACTGCCTTTAAAATATTCAGGCCCCAGGAACTGTGTGCAAGCAGTATATCATTATCTTATGCACTAGTTATTAGACTCTGAGGGCAAACAAGTGTCTAGTGTCTAGACTAGCCTTAGGGAAATTAACATCACCACCATTAAAGCCCACTCTTGTCGGGGAGTCCTCAAACTGCTATATGAATCTATCCTATTACATATGAGGCAGGGAGCTGCAGTTGACTTCCTGCGAGTGCATCTATTCTCCTACCTTTTATAAAATTTGACAAGGGAAAATTGAAAATTAGTTTTTCTTCACTCCATCACTGATATGATGAAAAGCAAAAGAAGCAATCTGAGTGAACTTGAGCATAAAGGTAATCTTCATGAGGACACGTGCATAATTTAGAATACACCAAAAGCTGAAAATATAATAATCACACGATAATAATGTAATGAGTTATTTAAACCCACCCTCAATACCAATCTCAGCAAAAGTGTACATTATAAAGATTAAAATTGCAAATTCTAAATTATATCAACTTAAATGACAAATCAGACACTTATCAATAAATGATTGGAATCACCATCACAAGTATATTTTTCAAAAAAAAAAAAAAAAGGCATAAACATCTATCTGAACTGAGGATGACCAGTTTTCGAACAAAGCTTTTCTTCTACCCATATATACCCGCCCAAATAAGGCTTACTAATCATTGTAATTAGAAATAATTCCAATCAGTAAAAGGTGAATGTCCTCGGAGTCTGGGTACATGCAGACCACAAACTGCAGACTTAACGTGATGCATTGCAAACAACACCCTTCTTTTGCATGCTTACATGTCAGTTCACCACAAGTTTCAGATCCGATACATGCAAGCATCTTCATTTTCAAATCACCATATGCTCGTGCACAGTAAACTTTACTCAAATGCTTCGAAAGTTCAGACAAAACAAGCAGGCATGTATGAAAATTTAAAAAACGAAGATGCCGACTCTGAAATTGTCACTTTCTCAATGGCCTCCAGCTACAGAACTGAATTGGTTTGGGCCAGTGACATCACATAGCAACCAATATACTTATACAAATGAAATTAAAAACCAAGAAGCTGGTTAATTTACTACCCATTACTAAGCTCTTAGTCAATATAGTCCATCTGATGATGTCATCTGGACCCAAACCAGTTTGAGCATAACCCTGCAGTAGCTTATCACCTACAGAAGCATATTAGTTAAGTTAAGTGTGTTGCAGATTCTGTATAATGTAAAAGCAATCAACACACTGGAACATTTCTGTTACAAAAGAAGCCTAACCCATTTAACTGTATCTTTTTCAAATATTTACAAGTCTCAAGTAACACTTTTGAGGAAAAAAATTACTCCTAGTATTTTTAACACAGCTGCATACTGTGAATTACAGCTGGCCCCAAAAGTTTCGAGTCATGGCCCAAAATGACACCGAGTTGAAATTCTACTGAAAACCTCGGCATGACGTTCAACCTCTTTATATTGGCATGTGTCTGGTGTCTAGACTAGCTAAGGGGAAAAACACTCAACCATTCCATTAGATGCAATATGAAAAATCTATGAGGCTTTTCAGCTAGGATATTTTTAGCTGTACATGGAGGAATAGTTCTGTCATATATATATATATATATGAGAGAGAGATGGTTTTGATGGTATATATACACAGTATAAACTGTTCTGCTAACTGTTCTGGTATGGTCATCATTTCCTTCGTGACTGACTATCAGTATTATCATATGCTTTTGTCTGTTTATATTTTCATTGTTGGCGAACAGACAGATGTGTCTGGAAAGAACTAAAACCACTTTCATACATCTAAAATAAAACTTTATATATTCCTACAAATAATACAATCACACAATTAACATAAACCTCTAGAGAAACATATGTTTTTAGGACTCATTCTTGTTTCATTGGTCATTAATTCTATATCCACTCTTTCCAACCACCAACTAGTCGCCTGGTTGATAATAATAGTAATGCTAAATTGCCATTAGCAAAGTTTATTTCTGATGCAACATCAACACGCATATATTTTCATTGCTGGTTAAAGGTAATGCCTTTGTAAGTTCATCTGTCATCTTTTACGATCTTTGTTTTCTAAACAATGGGTAATTTTTCATTCTGTCTTTTTAATATAGGTTTTTATTGTGATATTTCTTTTTATTCTACTCCTGTGACATATGTTTTATTTACTATTCTATATTTAATAAACAAAACACCTACCTCCTGCCTGGGAGACGGAGGGTGGGGGTTAAGCTGATGCTGCTCCGAGCTCGTGCTGGGTTCCCGCACGCGCCGTCCAAACATGCGTGCTGACAAGCGGTAGTGGTTGATCACGCACGACACGACACCAATAGTGAAGACGACAGAGAGGACTATCACAATAATCTGAACAAAGTCATTAGTTGCTGAAATAAACAGAAAAAATCATTTCAAACAGACTTATACATGAATATAATATTAGCCAAGGGTAAGAGTATTTTGATTGCATTTTAGGTCTTCTTCAACCAGTTTAACAGTTGATATAACTGGCATTCTTTTTACACAATTACACAAAAGAGAGATGAACTTGATATAATGGATTTTAAGCTGTAAATGAATATAATAACAATCAATGTTGTTAAAAAGTAACTAAATTAGTTTCTTTTGCAGGTGTTAAATACAATGCATTTATAAGACAAGGAGGCAACTGAAAATAAATGAAAAAATAACCCAATAGATCCGTGGATCAACTGTATAGCCCACTTGCTTGAAAACTTGCTACGTAATCCCTGCAGGTACCACATAATCTTTGCAGGCAATCTATTCGGTGTCTTCTGGAGGATTTTGCAGCAAGCTTTCAAGTGGGTTGGCCATGTTTGATCTGCGGATCTGTTAGTCCTGGGATCAAATGGTTGTGAATACAGCCATATACAACCACACCCATATCTACCCACAAATACATCAACGTACCACCACACGTCCACCCATCCCCACCCACACTTACCTTTAGCACCATTATCAGGTCCCACAGTCTCTGAGGACGTGGACACTATAGTCGGGTTACATTCCCGCTGGTTCTCATCGCTGCTATCTCGACAATCTGGGAAATCATTGCACACTAAGGAAGTGTCTGGCAGACAACCACCATCGTAACATCTGAAGGGACAGTAACCTATCCAAAAGAAAAGCATATTTTTGTTCTTTTACTGCAAACTGAAGAAGTAGCCAAGCATCCGAGAAACTGATTCCATAAAAATTATCTCTTCCACACTAGAGGTTACTAGAGGCAGATGCTACAGATGCTATAAAAATGCTTGCAAAGACAGTAATCTTTGTGGAATGGGGGGGGGGGGGNCCCGCCATGACGTAGATATTTTTAACGAGGTTATTGCCCTCTCACATGTCCTGTCTGATGACAGCTGTCTGTATAAAATTGCTTCAGTGTGCAGCAAATAATTTATTCAATCAGTTATTATATATATATAATAACTGATTGAATAAATTATTTGCTGCACACTGAAGCAATTTTATACAGACAGCTGTCATCAGACAGGACATGTGAGAGGGCAATAACCTCGTTAAAAATATCTACGTCATGGCGGGTGTCGGGAACAAAAGACCTATATGCGGTGAATGTGAGACGTAACCACGACTGGGTCTTTTGTTCTCAATATCTGACATCGTGATGTAAAAGACACTACTCATCAGAAAAGTGTAATATGGCACCCACTTGTGCTTCCCACTCATGTATATCGAATACACGCTGTTGACTTGTGGCTTACCCATAATTGCATAAAAAATACCTCTATGGACAGAAATTACTCAAACGTCAACTTAAACTTCCACTCTCCCCATCCCACCCATATGTTTTATAAATAATAAGTTTATACTAATTTTAGGGCTAAAACTCTTCTGTGAAAGTGCCTCCAAAAATTATATATATATATATTACTATGCATACATACGAAGGTAGATCCGTTACCAATATTGGAAAAATGCTTCAAATCTTAAGCACTTAACTGTGAACACCAGCACACACTGAACTGTTTGCACCCATCAACCCCCGCTGTGTCCATGATCAATAACTATATATTTATTTGCCAATACCAGGTTAAAATGTACACAAAATCATGACAGTCAGTAATCCATAAGTTGGTACTTGGTAGTCCTTCTATATATAATATTCTAGTATATATCAAAACTTCTCATCAAAATATTGCCACCATCAAGAGACGGAAGCTGGCCTGGCTCAGGCAAGTCATTCGAAGTGATAGACTTTGCAAAACCATCATGCAAGGTACCGTTGAGAGAGAACACTGGGATAGGGCTAGCAATTTTTTTTTGCTTAGCCAAATCACAATTTTTTTTTTTTTTCAATTTGTTATCCAAATGGTTATAATTTGACTAAAACTAGTCAAATGAATCCCCTTTTGTTTAGCCAATTTAAGTTATTTTTAGCATTTGGCTGAATTGGTGAGTGTTAGCGCTACCCCAGGGGCAAATACCTGGATGACAACACAAAAGCTGGCCCAACAACGTAAAGGAGTGGACAGAAATGACTATGCCACAGGTCTTAATGCAGGCCAGTGACAGACCAGCCTGGGGGAGATACAATCACAAGACACCCCCCCCCCCTGACCACACTGCCCATTTTCAAGGTATGCGTCAGCATGCATTTCACAGTATCATACCCCGAAACAAAATTTGAGATGAGATGCACTCCTTTCCAACCGCTATCATATCGCCTACTAGGCAAGAGCGGTGTCGCATCTGATATTCTATCTTCGGGTGAATTCAGGATCATTTGGTGCGGAGTCTGGTAGTTGGGTAGGCCTGTAGTTAGTCCACTGTTCTGAATGCGGTCTTAGAGGCAACCTGTCTCCTGTGCCCTATTATGTCGGTCCCCATCTTGTTTCATCAATTTATGTTCTGTTCTATTGGTAGACTGTGTCCGATAATGTCAGAGTGTGTCACGTAATTTCAAACTGTGTCATATAATGTCAGAATGCATGCTATTATGCCCAGATCTTATCCTGTTAAGTTAGGCTGTATGTATGTATGTACATGTATCCTGTTATGTCAGATGGGGCTCCTATAATGTCAGGCTGTCCTGCTATGTAATGTTCCCAATAGTGTGTATGTAACTGTTATGTCAGAGACTGTCCTTTCAAGCCAGACTTATGTCCTATATCTATGTCAGATATACCTATAATGTCAGACACACTTAAAATGTCAGATGATGTCCTATGATGTTAGACTGTGTCCTGTTATCTCAGACAGAGTCATGTCACGTCAGACTGTGTCCTGCTATGTCGGACTATGTCCTGTTATATCAGCCAACCTTTTCCTGATAGAGTAAATTACATATAAAGAAAAACATCTTAGCAATAATTCAGGCAATTTTCTTCAAATATGCCAGTCCAAACCCAGACTGGTTTTGGTGCTACTGCACTGCTGCTTTTTCTACCACATGATCAATATTTATAAGGTCAGGAGAGAAATTAGTCTGTCTCTTAGCAGGCTTAACTAGATCTAAGCAAAATATTCTGTGATGCATCTGTGGGTACACATCAAAGAAAACCTTTTTTATTTCAAACTGTTGAAAAAATTAATTATTTCATGATCAATATCAATCTACTGCCTTGACATCAACTAGGTGTTAAGAGTACTATTAAATGTATATGAGACCAAAGGAGAGCAATGTTGGAAATGGTTTAAAGGAAAAAGGAGGACTGAACAGAAAAAAAAATTTAAGAAGAACTACACAAGAATACTTTTTTCCTACGCACAACATAACCCTCCCTTTAATCTGCATTCAGAGGGATGAACACTTGAGCAAAAATTTTAATTAGGAGTACTACTAAGTTTATGCGCACCATATCTTAATGTTAATTACAGTCTGTTAGTATGCAGGAAGCGTGCCTTCTTTAGCTTCTTCAAAGCACGGGGAATACTTGAACTTGGTCGGCAGGCTGTGGGGAAACATGGAAGGAGAGGATATCGAAGGGGGGGGGGAAGAGAACAGAAACGGGGATCCCCTTTCCCCCCCAAAAAAATTATAGTCTTTTCAAAATGAAAGTATCAAAGAGACACATACCAAGATTTAAATAAGCATGTATCATACTCCCTACTGATAAAAATACCTTATCAAATGCCACAAATGTTCAAACATTCCCTTTGCATCTGAGAGAAAAGGTTGGGGGGGGGGATAGAAAGAAAAAAAGACCCAATATCCCCCTTTACTTCTGGGTTTCTTTTACACAGAAACTTAAACCAAAACTGGTTTAGATTCTGATGTCATCACCAGATGGCATACCACTATCTAAACAGTCTACCAAAAAGTGGCCATGTGAAGAGATATTATTTTAAATTCTTCGAGTAGGTATATCAGTTTATCACCTTTAAAAAATAGGTAAAATAAATTCTCCCATTGTCAAGATTTATTTATGAAGACTGTTTCTAATGCACCCTCACTCAAACATAATACAGTTTAAATGTGTCTCCAGCTCAAATACCATAGGGTTGCACTGGCTGTACAAGTTAGCACTTAGATCCTTCTCACATCATGTATTACAATCATCTGTCTCAAAACACTTAAGACTGGTCCTTATATGTAATTTGGGGTTTTGATCCCTTTCACAAGTGAGCTTTCATCTGTTTGGACCAATCAAAATTAATTTGGTTAACTGGCCGTGTGAGGTGTGAGGGGAGGGGGGGGGGGGTGGAGGCGACCTGACATTTCCCTTACGATTTCAGACCAAAATACTGGTGCACAAAGTCATGCATACACAATACATACTTCTGCTGATAAATGAAAATAAAACCAATACTCACCATCGGATTTTAAAAAGTCAAAATCCAGGGTAAATCCACTTGATTCGCCTGGTGTCCACGAGTACTTCAACTTCAATAAATGGGAGTATGAGCTTTGAAAGACTTTTGGGGATCCATAATTGTCACATATCACATTTAGTGTTCTTTCAGAGCCATTGTTAGCTACCTCGACAATCTCAATCTTTGGCATACATGGTGAGGGAAAGGGCGAGGGCGATATCGGGGGAGCCGCTTTTTTGTCTGACGGATTGGCAGATATACCATGTGGCAACGGCATGGCTTTATGACTTTGCGTTGGCGCAAATTTTGGTGATAATGATGTTGGTGAAGATGACAATGATGACAATGGTGACAACGATGATGCTGATGCTGAAGATGACATTGTATCTGATGATGCTGAGGATGATGATGGTGGTAATGCCAATGAGGATGATGCTGATGATGATGGTGATGGCAGCAAAGAGTCATTTTTTGTCTCTGCAAATCCATAGAGTTGTGTAAAGTTGAGCTGAATTCGCTGATGTCTAGGCGCGGTAAAAACATACTGGCAGTATCCACTGCGCTGGTGTGGTAATGACTCCGCACGTATATGGCTAGGAGACGAATAAGTCTGGCTACAATCTGAAACAAAGAAGTAACAATATTATGTGGCATTTTAACCCATTTCGTAAAGCTGGCTTCAGTTTAATTTTAATCAACCCATAAACAAACTATTGAGTTTGAAAGGCAATGAATATGCATACTGTACATAAACGTATCACCATTTCAAGTATATAGTTTTTTTAACTCTATCACATACCCGATACCCTTTGCAAATTAACTTACTAGTTTACTTGCAACACACAAATTTTAAAATTTAATATTGTATGTCACATGATAATTTCATGTATCTAAATTCAACAATAATTTAACTCAAGTATAAAATATGTAGAAACAATAGGGCGTCAAGAAACACAATAGAATTGAAATAAGATGCTGTAACTTGAGGACTGGTGGCATTTGTTTCACACATGACAATTTGCTACTGCCATTCATTGCCTTTTTTCTATCCTTTTTTATTCATTCACTTATTAATTTCTAACATGTAGGGTAGGGTTGAAAAATAATTAGACATATTTCCAGTAGTCCGATGTGATTTGAAGGCATTAAACCAAGATTTATGGAAGGATTTCCTGTGTTAATCTTAATACTAAAAGAAGAAGAAAAAAACACAGGCATTTTTATCCCTACTCCACATGTTTGCACTGTGGAAACCTAACAAAAACTCCCAGGGTCGATTTTTAAATGCTGTGTAAGCTGTGTATGCCCGACTGTCCTAGTTTCCTGCAACACAATGGCAAAACTTCAAGAGTAACATGATAAACAGAAGTTGCTAGAATCTCGCTAGATATTTTTTTTCTCAACTGAGCAAAAGAGATTTAACAATAAAAATGTACACTGAACATGCATGAAAAAAAAACCCTTGGCAATTCAGTGTTTGCCAAAACTACTGAAAATAATTCATAAAATAGTGGACTTCGTTTAAAATGCATCTTTTTTTTTTGTTAAATTTCTCCATTTTACAGTACTTCAGTAAAAAAAACTTTGCAAGCTTCAGCATATTCTCTTCAATTTTAGCTCTGCATTTAATATAAAACGCCTTTAATGCACCATCAAGAAAAATGTAGGCATAACTAATAGTTCCATTAACCATTTATTTTTATTCCAACGCTGCATAAAACTGATTTAAAACAATAGGGAAAATGTTTTTTTTTTTTACATATCTAGACACTTCTAGTACATAAGTAAAGCTTAACCTTCATTCAGGCCAGTATAACCCTTCCATTTATTACACGAGATAAACTAAATCTTATATCATTTTCGCAAGGTTCAACTTTAATCAAAACCCACCACTTAAAAGAAAATAATCAAACCACACAAATCATCCAATTCGTATTAACAAATTTCTCTAGACTTTATCAGATATGAAATTCATTTAATATCTCAACATGAGACATGTCAACATTTCTCACAGACCCCCACTGCAAGAGGGCTTATGTAACTTAAGCTCAGGAGAAGGTAACGTTCACATCATGTTCCAGTAAAGCAGAGATCTATTTCACGATAGTTTTAGACTGACAATTAATCTGAACATTTAGGACAAAATGTTAGGGCATATTTCCATTTAAACTAACACTCTACATAGATCGTTTCCAACTCCAAACCCTTGCCGAATGCAATCAGTTTAAAAGATGCATCCTCTTAATTCCAACGAACTTGTATAATGAATAGCTTTTCTGTATTCTATTCAATACCAAGAGGAGGCGCGTTTATCTGTTAAACTAATTGCACTCAGCAAGTCCCATGGAGTTAGATCGATCTAGATGGACAGAGAGCTTCAATAGGAATGAGCCCTTAATCAACTTTGACCCAAAATAAACTGGAACAGTCCAAATGTAAAAAAATACACAAAAGACAGTAGTTACTGTTTGGAAGTTTTTACTAAAATGATTTTAGACAATTTTCTGGCTATGGCTTTTTAAGTGTGCCTGGCCCTAGATCAGAATCAAAAGCTGTTCAGAGTGTGATCCAATGGGGACCTACAAAATGCCTCCCTACAATACCTGATTGCACTAATAAACTGGGCAAGATATTTATGGAATAACTCCATGTTGATGGCTGCCTGAATTCAATAAGGACAGCCCACATGACTTGGTCTCATTTAGATTTAGTCTATTAGACTGACCTAAATAATTCAGTTTGATTTCGATACGGTCCATTGCACTAGTGTGAACTGCCATGCACAGACAGCCCCATACACCTGACACAGACAGACAACAAATACAGACGTATCATAAACAAACCTCTTGAATAAATAATCCTTACTTCAGATCAGACAGAGTTAATGTGAAAACCAAACTTTAATTATCAGTACATACAAACGGTCAACAATTCTTGCTTTGTTTAGCCTGGTCAATTTTCAATTATTAATGGACTTATGGAAAGATTGCCAAGTCCTTTCTGTAACTATCTAGCCTGCAAACACATATTGCAACTAAATACATGCACAATGCCCCTAGTCTTCTGTTATCAATTGTGGATATTTTGGACTTCAACAATCCCAAGTTCTAAGATATATCGAGTCTGGTTAAGTCCTGGACCTGTTTCAACCTCATGATGCACCAAATGACCAAGCACCCTCACCAATTATTAAAAGCTACCAGTTAGGTCGAAGTAATCAAGGCAGGCCAAATTAAGACTCTTGTTCCCAACATGCACTTCAACAGAATGGAGCTACAAGATATGCCCCCCCCTCCAATCTTTCATTTATTGCACAGTATCTTGTGGTACCATAATAATAATAATAATACTTATACCTGTACTGATTACTGTGTCTATAAATCTTAGGAAAATCATTTTAAATTTATCTAGCCAGAATTCAATCTAAAAAAACAGCATATATATTCAGTGTGAGGTAAAAGGAAAAATAATAATCCAAAACTTTTATTATAACACCTTGAATTTTCTACAATCTAACAAAGCACACCTTTCCAATTTTTTCTTTTTCATTTTTTATTGCAATCAACCATCTGTAACAGCCAGAAGAGCTGAAATCCATTCCATCAATCACTTAGTCATGAAAATCAATTTGCATTAGCACCTGATATTGTACTTTAACTGTCTGTAAACAGTTTGTGGTCTACCGCAACAGTCTAACACAAGTAGTAGGGGGTACCGATACTCCTGTTTAATGCAAACAGTTTTACAATGATTGCGGTACACCTCTAACATTCTGGCAGTGAACTAGAACTTGACCCCTGCTAATCAGTGGCCATACTATTGATAAAGCTGCCACAACTCAAATATAATGTTTCAGCGTCCCAAAAAGAGAATGCTTGTCAACAAAAATTGTCTTTTTTTTTTCAAAACATGGATAGATTTGAAAAAATCTGATGTTACAAAAAATGCTGTATAAACTGCAATTTAAGGCTATGGTCCATGGGTTTTAACAACAACAAATATAATGTCTTCACATTAAAGGGGAGTGGCTGGCTGCCTGACACTTCCTCACAGTGCTACATGTACCGATATATTTATATATTTTTTCATTTTTTACATGATTAACACTGTCAGTTCGTGTCTTAAAATGATAAAAAAACACAACAACAGTGGGAAATTGGAACTCTTAATGCCTGTCTTATCTGTTTAAATGTGTCTCTGCTTAAAGTCACATATCTTTTCTAGAATTTACACCACGATATTGAAAGTTCAATATTGACTCTGTCTCGGTAATAATCCCGTCCCACATGTTGTATCTAAAACTGGATAAAAAAGGTGAAGATATAGGGCAGATGGAAGTATTTATTTAAGTCGGTCAAGACTATACTATCTGGTAATAATAAAAATGCTATTCACATCTGTAAAGAAATATGCACCAAATTGCGTAAAGATGATAATAATAATAATAATAATAATAATAATAATAATAATAATCAGCACTGTCAAAACAGAGTGCAAACCCATAGAGTGATTCTGAAGATTTTTGCATCCTCCACTTCTCAACGTCAATATCGTCCATATGCCTCTCATTATTACCAACACTGAAAATCTTCTTACATCATTTCTCAACAATTTCTGTTCTTTTTTACGACCTAAAATCTGGTTTGGTTTTCATATTTCAGTTATATTATGCTAGCATGACTCTTAGCCCATCTTTGTCTTAAGTTAATTCTAGCTGCGTACATATATTTCAATTAGTCTACCAAACAAGGCATAGCAGTTTAAAAAAATACCCAGTTTTTGAAAATATGCAAGATGGTTCCACAATTCAGACCAATGCAAATTCAACAGAAAAGAGGTTTTCCAGACAAAATAATAAAAAAAACTCCTACAAAAAAAAAACCCCATTCATTCTGCCATTTAGTCTAGAGACTACTGCACCCAGTCTTGGTTGCCATGGCAACCACCATTAATCTATAATAAAAGCTCCAGACATATTAAGTGGATGCTCCATGTGGTTTAGAAAAAGAACAGACATGAGGAAGTTGGCATGGATTGTGTTTTCTCTCCCTGAATATGAATCAAACAGCTTTCAGAGAAAAATATGACCAGAACCAACTACAAATCTACTACGCATGCAGACTCATATGCAGCATAAGTTTTACCTATAACCTTACAGTCTCAATTCTTGTTATGTCTCATTGAAGATAATACTATAATTACTTATCAAAAGAGTGCTTGATTAGTTCATCCATCTTCTGTTGGTTTTTTTTTTTTGCCTTTTTTAGATAAGTCCACTGTCACACACACTCACAGCAGAATTTAAGTTACAACTAAATACTTGCATTTCTTGTATGAATTCTGATACAAGAAATGCAATTTCTTGTATCAGAAATAGAACTGGTTATTTCCGCGATTAAAAAATATATACATTTATTTGATGTCAGCTATATGACCTTTATTCCCATTCATCTATAACAGTACAAAAGATTTTAGCATATACTGATGAAGGAAATTGAAGAGCTGAAATTATTCAAAGCAGCTCTGACATTTGAAAAAGCAATAGTTTAACTTTAAGGGAAATGAACTGACAATGATCTTTTTACAGCTTATACTTATTTTTAGAGTAAGAACTTTCACAA